ATATTGAAGTTCTTGATTTACTGACCGTAAGCAGTCAAATTCATGCCTTCTTAACAATTTAAATAATAGGCCTCAGAAAGTCAAAAACATCTCCCAACCGTGATTTGACCATGATTTTCTTTTTAAAAAGCTATAGACAAGTATAATAAATCGAAATCTCAGAATTTGCCATCAATCCCATCAGGTCTTTTTACTCTAAAACAGCAATATAAAAAGTTGATCAAATGTTTTAACAGAGAGGCTCTTAAGAAGACTTGGCTGCACATTAACCAGGCGACAAAACTGAAAAACAATTCACTTTTTGGAAAATATTTTCGGGAGGCCTTCATCTAGAAGGTTCTAAACTTTCTGGCGAGATTCCTGCGGAAATCGGGGAGGACCATTTTTCTGCACTACCCTGTTTCCCCGAAAATAAGACCTACCCCAAAAATAAGCCCTAGCAGGATTTCTATGAATTTGTGGTATAAGCCCTAGTGTGTCTTCTTGAGAAAAAATAAATATAAGACAGTGTCTTATTTTGGGGAAAACATGGTATATGCAGCAGGGGCAACTCAGATGTCATGCCCATTGATTAGCACAGATAATTTTCCATCTTGGACCCCAGTCACAGTCACAGAAGTTAGGAGGTTTATACCCCAGGTAAAGCCAGGGAAGCCCCCCTGGAGGTAACTTAATCCCTCCAGAGCTGATAAAATCAGACATTGACCTGTGGGCACCAGTACTTGCAACCCTTTTTATCTATATTGGCCAAATACCGCAGATCCCTGAAGATTGGGGCATGGCAGTCATCATTCCGATATACAACAAGGGGGCAAGATTAGTTTGCTTCGCATCTTGGGAAAGCTTTATGCTAGGCATCTATACTGGAAGCTATTGGACTGGATCGATGGGGGAAATATACTAGCAGCAGAACAAGCAGGATTTGGAAGTGGTTGCTCTACAATGGATCAGTGTTTGATCCTGCAACACCTAGTAGAGAAATACACTGCCAGGTCACAAGGAGCCTTTGATTGCAGCCTTTGCTGATTACAAAATTGGTAAAGTCCACAATAGATTGCAGGCTGTTGGCCCTGTTAGAGAACAAGCATGCTATTTGTTTTATGGACTGTTTATTGCTACACATGGACTGTGCATATACACATAGGCTCAGAAAACTGTACACTTTAGATCACCTGTTGTGATGACACACATAGAGGGTACCTGCACATACCTTACATGTAAATAAGGTTTCAGCTACACAGTTGCCCAGCCTGGTGAAGAAGCACAAACCTCCATTATTGTGAGCAATGAAACAAATCTAGGAAGAGATAGCCCCCATGGCAAAGCTGCTTGTGGTCACGTACTACCCGTCAACTGCTTTGTTCCTGAGCTGGCATTTCCTGCCAGATGGACATTTGGTTATCAATGGAACTGGCCAACTTCATCAACATGACAATGAAGCATCCTGACGCCTGGATTTCACACCTGTCCAGATGTCATACTTCGAGTAATGTTTTAGGTTACAATATTGGCCATCCCTCCTAGGTAACCTCCCCTCCCTACCTGCAACCAATAGGATTTTTTGGGGACGGACTAACAGGTAGGTGGGTCAACAGGTTGGCACAGTTACCGCCCATCTCTTGAACCCACTATAAAAGGAGAGAACCAGTCACCTGGCCCCTCCTACCTGGCTAGATAGCATCTCCCCCGCAACAACCCCTGTCTGCTTTTCCCCCTCTTAAGTCCCACTTTCTATCCCCAACCCTTGCCTCTACTAGTGATCTCTTGATCTGCAGTCAAGAGACCCACACGTTCCGGCTGGTTCTGGTCGTGTGTGGATTCCCTTTGTTTTCCATTTCTTCCCCTCCATTCTTCCTTGGAACAACCAAGCTGCAAGACAGATAAGTATCGCCCGTCATCACCCCTACCTGCTAATGCAACTGTGCTTATTTCCTACTGTAATTCTTAGGAACTTGATTGAATGTGTGAGTGCATCAGTATTGTCTGTATGAGATATATTTTAAGTAAAGGACATCTATTTTAACCACAACAGCCTTGAATCCTTTACTGGTAACCCTTGGTGGGATCAGGACCTTGGTATAAATTGGCAAGAACCCATTTATAAATTGCCAATTGCTGTAAATAAAGCAATTTGGCTAACAGCCCTTACATGCGCCCTTCATGAAGATACCCAACTCTCAGTAAGATGCAACCCCCAAAGACACTTGTCTCATAAGGGATCAGTTAGGAGGGGTGTGAAACAAGGCTGCATACTTGCCCCTTTATTATTTCATTTTTATATAAATTCCATGGTACAATCCCTAACCTGGATTTCCACCCCCCCAGTTGGGGGGGGGGGTGCTCCTGACAACCAGCAGGAACTCCTGTGGCTCACCTCCTCCCCCCACTACCTGAGATGGATGCTGGACTCCCCCCCCTTGCCACATGGCCCCTGATTGGTTCTGGTGACCCTGTCCATCATAGTGTCACTGCCTCCACACAATGCCTCCACTGACCGCAGCGGTGTGGTTGTTATAGACACTACCCTGGTTACAATCAGAAAATACTGTGAACC